TACTTCTTTACATGTTATTTTCTGAGAAATAGTTATAACAAGCTCGGTTTTTACAGGGGCGTCCACCTCAAGTGTGCCACAGTCTGGAGAAGATTCGCTCCCTTTCAATTTTCAATCCCAACTTGGGCATATGGTCAGTTCGCCCAGACAGGCCAACTCTTGCATACTTTCTTTCGTTTCATTCCAAATTGGTTTTTGTTTAGATGTGGGAAGCAGGGTCGAAACAGATGAAGGATACATTTTCATCATACGGAAAAATAGATATATTTAGACCGTACTTCGATGTTGAACCCAGCCAGGTACAGCAATTTGCTGCATCTTTCATCTTCAGATAAATTGGCACTTTATTTTTCGAATAGTTTTTTTTTACTTAGACCATAAATGCTAGATAACTTAATTATCAACTTCTGTGCGATCCATTTTCGCTCTTAAAGCTTTAATTTGAATCTCGCTACAGTTACCGCTCGCTATCCAACAGCTACAGTTTGAGCGAACTAAAGTTTTACTCTGAAGAGGTCTGACTTTGTATATTCGTATAAAATTAAGGTGCGTATTCGTCTTCTTCGATCATTTGTACCACGTCGACCATCCAAAATGTCGTCTTCAATTGATCTTTATGGTCCTTCAATGGTTGTGCTCACTATGGTTGCATTACTTCTGTACAATATGAAGAGCAGCGGGTTAATAGTTTTCTGTTTAGAAAAATAGCTCTGGTACTGATAACTACATTTTAAGATACGTCGTGCAAAATGGCACATTGATGGGTACATCTTTCTTTGCTTGTACTGGCTCATGGCTGTTGCTGTCAGGAGTTCTTTACGTTCTTTGCTTTCTTCTCGGCGCTGAAATTTCGATGCTTGAATTGGTCTCAGTCTTTGTAAGTCTATTAGTCTAGCAATTCAATTGTATCTTACTTTCACTATTGCGTGCTTTTCAGGGTTATTCGCTAACGTCGCAGTGCGTAGTGTTATTGCTCACATCAATCTATCACACGACTCATGATCATCTTTTCTTTTTCGTTTTAGTCGGACTTTGCTGTGTGCCCAGCGCAATTCGAATGGTTAGATAATTAAGAATGGAAAGAGTTCAAAT